CCGTCTATTCGTCCGTCTGTCTATCCGTTCGTATGTATAAACGCAGCAATCTCGAGACCTATAGGAGATAGAGACTTTAAACCTTGAACGCTGGTCCTTCTATTGCCCACTTAGTACGCATTTGTTTCCGATAATGGAAAGAGGCAAGTGTCCCTTTTTTTAAGAAATTCTCTTAGGTTTTCAAGGCTAGAGTCACCAAATTTGACATGTAGCTTCCCGAATAACATATATATATATATCTAGTATCTTTCATCACCTAGTCGGAAATACCCGACTAGAGGCACTTGTGTTTTATACGATTTAATATAATAATATGTAATTGAGTATTAATGCATACAATCATTTTTATTTATGCCATCAGTATTAATATAAGGCCTTTAAGTAGAGCTGGTTGCTTTTATCAGCTTCATCTAACGATACTCTCATCTGGACTACAAACATTTATGCTCAAAAAGAATTTTGTCTGCGAGTCAACATAGAAATTGTTCTTGTTCTTGCAAATTATTCAAGCAAATCAGTTCATAGAACATTAAAAAAACAAAAGACATAATACAGTTTCTAAATGGAAAAACTAGCTGTTAAAATTAACAGGCGGATATTACTGGAACTAGCATTGAGCTAAGCTCAGAGATCAATTCGATGCAAGTCTCTCGCCCTCTGGCGATTGGCGGCCTCTTGAATATTGCTTTTGCGCAGTTTTTCTATAGCTTTTCATGGTGAAATGTGTAGCTGCCGCAATCCAATATTTTCCGGCGTGCATCGGTTTCCATAGTCTGGGAGCTGGGTGCCAAGTGTTAATTGGTTTTGTTTAACCGAAGGCGCAAGCGGACGAGTTTGTCTGTAGCCTTTGTTCTTCGCATTAATTGATTTAATTATAAGTGCGTGTTGCAACAGTGCCACAAATAACAGTAATATGGATAGTAGTAGATACTTTATTATTTTGCATACAAAAAAAAATATTTTAAAACAAATATAAATCGAAAAACAAAATGTTGCAGCAGATGTTCAAATATTTGCCTTTGGTTTCTTTATATTTTTAATTGGCGCTGAGCGAATATGGAAAGCCAGGCATCTAGCAGTTTCTATATGCATATATATATATATATATATATATATATATATGTGTGTGGGTGTGTGTGTGTGTGTGCGTAACTGTATCTATATCTAACACGCATTTGCATGTAGAGCTGGTGCTAAGTCAATAGACCAACCGCCCCGCACCCCGCTAAGCCCAAGTTAGCTGGGCCCGACTGATAGCCAGCCGTAGCTGACAGCGTTAAAGTTGACAGCACAGCTATCAGGCACACACACACACACACACACACACACACACCCACACACTATTGCATGCTAACAGTGAACTTGAAAAGGTTATTAAAAATTCAAGTGCGGTAGTTGGGTGCTAAGGTAAACAGAGGACGGCGACAACTTTGTCAACTGCAACGTCGGCAGAGTAGAGCAGAGAATAAGAAAGAGAGAGCATAGGGCCAGTCGGCTATACATATGTACAAGTTGACCCATATTGTCGCACTGTCGAGATCGTGGATTTTCCGCAATCATGATTTATGCAGTGTTTATATATGTTGCCTGTCAACCAGCTGCCCAAACGCACAACAAAAAACCATGCTCGACTACGATATGCCCTGTATTTAGCGTAGTCAGAAGCTCTCTACCAACTACGAAAGCTTTCACACACATACACCCTTATACATATATACCTATTGCACTAGTAACTTAACATATCAGTACTGTTTATGTAAACGGATCCTGTTAAGATAACAGCTGTTAAAATATCGATTGTCACAGTATATTCACAATTCTTTTAGCATAAATGTAGGCAATACGAAATTATTTTCTACTTTTTATGTTTAAATAATAGTTTATGGAGCTGTTAATTTTAGTTAGCTTTGTATTGCTTATAATTATTGTTTAGATTATATAACTTTTTACAATGAAACAAAAAAAAAACATTGACGGTGAGCTGTATCCGTTCGTATGGGATAGATTTTGCAAATATCTGTACAGAAAATTATTAAAAATAAACTTAAATTATTTCTTTTTAATTAAGAAAATTGTGAAGGAAATCCGCTGTACTAAAAAAAAAAGAACTAATCATAGTTGCAAAAAAACAAAACGAAATTATCTGAAATTTAGCAGAAAATATAAAATTCTGTGTTCCTCAAACAAACAATGCATCAGAAATAGAACTAAAGAAAAAATTAAGAGAAAAATGATAATAAATATAAATAAGTAATGGAAATTGTTGTTGCTTAGCTCGACAAATGTTAGGGTATTTACAATGCGTTAAGCTCAATGGCAAACAGCAAGCAAATTTGTTGTTTCCTTCACTTTTCTAAGAAGCGACAATTTACGAGCAACTGCGGTACTCGTAAAAATGATTTGCATTTTGTTGGGGCACAAAGGCGCATAGATACACACACTCACAGATATATCTGTTAAGATATATACCATATAGATATGTGTGTTTTGTGTATACATTAAATTTGAACTGTGCAACTCGTTCTTAGTCAGCTAAAACGACACTCAACTCGCTGTCTGAGTGCACATCATAATTATATTCAAATTAATTCTATTCTCATCGCAATTATGCAACACCTCAGTTTTAATTAATGTGCTAAACTGGACTCTAGGTCTGTGCACGTGCTCAGCTCGGCCAATTATAATTACAAGTATATCAATATGCCGTAAATGATAATTGTTGCAAATATTATTTAAATTGAGGCATTTACTAGGCGCCTCTTCCCACAGCCTCCATAGCCCCATCCCAATGCGCACAATCCCAACAAGTGCGTCACGTGCTGTGGGATACGCGTCTGCTCCGGCGCAGACTGGACTTGACGTTGCGGCTTGGAGCAGATTTGTGCAGATTCTTTGCACTCTAATTGAAGGGGGCCGTTCGTAAATTGAATCGCGCCAACTGTCTTATAAATAAATTAGCAATGAATAGACTCATTCACACTGCGTATACGTCATATTTGTATCTATATATATATATGTATATATGTATATATGCAGCGATATTTATGTTTAGGTCCCGCTGCAACCACAGAATTGATGACTTACATGAGAGTGAAAGAGTTTGTTAAGCACTTTACAAGAATCAATCAAAAGCTGTTATGAACAACCCCAAACTAGTCGAAGATGCACGTAGTATAAGACGCAGCAATAATGCATTTGCATATGGTTCACTTAGTATAAGAGTTGAGGATGCGCCAAAAGCCTTGCTCGCATGCCAAAATTAGACGATATATAGTATAACAGCTGGTAGCAGAGCGTAAAATGTGTCACAGTATAAGAAAAACGCTAAGCAAATAATGCTTAGCGCTGCTAATTAAATGTAAGCTAATATAAATTTAAAAAAAAAAAACGCATGAGCATAATAATTTAGCGAAAAATTAAAGAGTTTTATAAGACTACAAAATGTGGCAAATCCGCGTGAATAAATGAAAGTATAAGTGACTAGTGCTGCTTAAATTAGTCAAATACTTGCTAAACTAATCTAAAAATTATGTGCAAGAGCAAAATAATGTTTTTTGTTTTTATTTTAAGCTCCCAAGTGTAATACTTTTCCTAGTATAAGACCTTATCTACGAATTTCGGGGGTGCATTATGGCTATTATAAGACAGTGTAGACGAGCTTTGAATGCAAGACAAAACCTTGCGAAAAAAAAAACTAAAAATAAACAAAAGAAAAATAAGAGAAATGGTAGAACAAAATATAGAAAAATAGCAGCAGCAGCAACGGCAGCAACAGCAACAGCAGCCGGGGCGAGAACTGTTAACGAGTATAAGAGTGACATTTCGGCAGCAATTTACGAAAGCCAAATAAGCTGACACACTGAGAATAGACAATGCAAAAAAAAAAACAGCACATAGATGAGCTATAGAAATATATATACATATATATAAAGATGTATATATATATATATAAAGAGATACTTTTAGCTGCGCTTGAAACGCTCGTGACGTCTGCTGACGGCGATGACAAAAGATGACGAAAAGCGAAGCCAAAAGCGACAACGACGTCGGTTCATTTAAGCAAACAAATAAATAATTAATAAATTAAAAAATGAAACAATAAAATGGCCAGTTGTTTGTCAATGTTGTTGTTGTTGTTGTTGTTGTTTCATGAGTATGTTATGGCTTGTTTGGGGGGGCTTTTGTTAAATGCGGCTACTGCGGCTGCTGCTGCTGCTGCTGATGCAGCGACTGTGCCTGCTTTTGTTTTCTCGTTTGTTTGCTGGCTTTTGCATTAAACAGTTGACGCAGGCTCTGACAGTGACACACAAAATGCGGGAAGCGAGGGAGCGAGATGGGGCTATAGCGATTTACGATTTATCAATCGCGGCATGCAAATCGTTTTTCATTAACAGCAATTATTATTTAATTATTGCATTAAGACATGCTAAACGACAGCGGCGACGTCGCTGCCAATCCACCGAGACAGAGATTGAGACCGAGACCCAGACCCAGACCAATATCAAGGAGCACACACACACACATACACAGTCACAGCTATTGAAGGAGGCGTGGCTGAATAGCAATTTCTAATGAAAGTTGAAAAGCGCTACTCATGCGATTGGCTGAAATGTGTCAGTCCCACGCCCCACTTCCTCGCCACCAACAACAAGACAGGCAACAAACGTCAACAGCATCGAACAAGTTTGAAGCAAGTTCGAAGCGGCAACGATGCTGCGCAGCCAGCGACCGCAACAGCAGCTGCGACGCTGCGTGCGCAGCACGCTCACCCACACATACCACGAATAGAGCCGCAAAAAGCTTACGATTGCTATGAAGCTGCAGCTTCGGTTTATTAACTCCCTCTCTCTCTCCTATTGTGGCGCTCTCTCGGCGCCGTCGCAACGCAAACAGCTGCTGCTGCTGCTGCTGCTGCGACGTCGCGACGCTGACGTTGACGGCGTGTAAACAGGATCTGAGCGTATATTACGTAGCGGCTGGCTTTAAGCCAACATCATTACCAAGCCGAACGCCAACAACAGCTGCCGTCGCTCCACAAACACGCTCCACGCTCCACGCTCCAAACACGCTCTACACGAACATCGAGCAACGATCTCCGATAACGAGCAGCTGTTTTTGGGCCCGTTGTCAGTGCCAGAGTTATCTGGCCGCATCTCTGCCAAAACGCAAATTTCCAACGCAGCGACGCGGCGCAGCGCAGCACCCCTGCCCCCCTCGCCTCATCACAAGCACCCCCGCAGGGCAGCGACAAGTGCAAAAAGTGAAGTGAACTCCACATACGAAAGCATCGTTTCGCCATTGTCGTCGTCGTCTGCTCTCTCGTGTCGCGTTCGTGTTGCGCTCGTGTCTCGTTCGTTTCTCTCTGTCGCGCGCTCGGCTTGCGCGCCGCTTCAAGTCCCATTGTAAATTACTTGCAAAGTAAAATTTAGTCTCGGCTTTTAATACCGTTTTAGTGCGTTTTCGAGTTGGTCGTGTTTTTTGTTACCAAAAAAAAACCAAATAAAGAAACTTAATACAGAAAGGCTTAATTCTGCGGCTGTGACAATTCCAAAAAAAAAAAAAAATAAATTAAATATAAAGTAAACTCTAATATCAGATGAACATTTTTTTTTCGGTTTCCTTAAACATTCCACAATAACTTTGCGGAACAATCGCAAGCAACAACAATTTAATTTTGCACGTCCTGCGCAATAATTATTGGCAGACTTGATAACAGACTATCATCAACAAGAATTAAACAATTTTTTTTTATATAATTTAACATTTTGAAAATTAAACGGAAATGTAAACTACTCGCCCCCGCCAACTGAGCCTCGCTTCCTGTAAATTAAGAACAATCATTTTTCGGTTTCGCACGCCGCAAACAGACAAATTTTGCAATAAAATTTGAAAGCAACAAACATTACATAACACTTGACTGCAAGTACAAAAATACATATTTAAAAGTATCATAAATAATTTAAAGATATAATAAAATACAAAACGATAAACAACCATAAAAAAACAAATTCAAGACGGAAGTGTATTTTTTTTTTTCAAAAGCCGCGCATCCTGTTTGAGCTTTTCGCGCACACACATACACACACAGACACAAACACACGCACACTTTGAGACGCGTAACTGGCTCGCGCTCTCGCACACGTATAAGAGTTGTGAAAACGGTAAGTTGCGTACTGTAATTGCCATTACAGTCAAATTTTGATTTTGTTAAATACATAGCATAAGTAGCACAGCACCGAATGTAGGTATAAGAGAGCGCCCATAAGAGGCGGCAGCAAATGTAAATGCAAATTTTATGCTGCAGCTATTATAAGTTGGCATAACATAACTGAACTCAGTGCTGAAAATGCAAGCAGTATAAGACTGCTGTGTATAAGAGCGGCAGTCTTGAGCGTAAAATGCATGCAAAAAAAAAAAAAAATAAAAATAAAAAAAGACTAAAAGAAAAATGAAACCAAAGCACAAATAACAATAATAAACAAACATTGCAATGTGCAATATTGCACATAGTGTGTTTTAGTAACAGAAACCATAAATAACGCCGCGTCTCAACTAACTCTAAGTATATTATCAAACAGTTCTAATGAAAACAGAGAAACACCCACTGCCACAAACACACACACACACACACACACACACACACACACACACACATGCAAACGCAGCCATATGGGTGGCTGGTGGGGTGGTAAGCTGGTGTGGGGCACGGGCGGCGACAGCACGCGCGCTGTGCAGTGAGTTCATAAACAAAAAAGCAATAAAAATATTAAACCAACAAAAAGAAAATAAACAAAATGTATAAATAAATAAGTATACAACAAATAAATTGCATTGCCTAAGCGCATGCAAATTTTAAATGCCCAAAAAATAAATAAAAATAAAGAAAGGAAATGTGCGCAACCCCCCTTTAACTACACTACACTACAATTTCGGGCTGTTCGGCAGTCGCGTGTGTGTCGAGTCACCCCAACCCGTCCAAAGCCCCGAGTAATTGACATCTGGATAGTTCAGACGCTTTGCCACAAAGATTCGATGCGGCGTTTGTTCGCCTAAAAAAGCAAGCACAAAAGTAACAAAAATAATAAGAATAATAATAATAATAGTAATAATAATAATAATAGAAGTAAGAAAATAGTAATAATAATAATAATAATAATAGCAGCAACAGATTTCTGGGCAGCTGCCGCAGCGTTTTAATTGTTTTTCAATTAACCATACGAAGGCGGGAAGGGCGGGCGGGCTGGAGCTGCTGCGCAACGCTGGCTCGGATCGTATCGATAGCTCATTGCCCAAATGTGACCATGTGACGCCCAATGGAGCAGTCGCTAGTGCGAATGCGAATTGCCAGTGTGAAGGCGATGGCAAGTGCGAATGTATCTTATGGATACGTTCGCTGTTGATTTAGCTGTTGTCGTTGGCATGCGCGGCTGCATGAACTGTCTGTCTGTTTGTCTGTCTGTCTGGTTATTTAAGCGCTCAACGCACATGCGCAGTTTTTCAATGCCCAGGCACAGGGCAGATGTGACCACAAAAAAAGAAAAACAACCCACCAGCACACACACACACACACACACACACACAACTCCCCTTCAGCTTAGCCTAGGCTTAAACAGCTCCGAAACAAAAACAAAAATCAGCATAGAAAACTTTCACTGCTCGCGACGTTCCAGTTTTAGTTTCAGTTTCAGTTTTCGATTTGCTTGAAGATGCGCCCAAAATACGGCACAAAATTCAAAGTCCAATAGATAAATGTGTGTTTTTTTTTTTTTTTTTTTTTTTTGTTAAGTTACGAGCGGATTTCCGCCGCTGTAAATTGTACACTTCCAAGACAATTTGCATAAATACATGCTGACGATAACAAATCACCTCAAAAAACATACACACGCAAACAAAGTTCTAATTAAATGTTACAACTGCGAAAAAAAAAAAAAAAAAACTAAAACTAATTTGCATTTTTTGGAGAACGACAAAAAGGTGAGAAAATTATTTCTACAATAATTGCGACAGTCGAGTCAAGTGCCTACTTGAGTGGAAAATCAATGCACTTCCGCAAAATCGCCAAACACACACACACACACGCAACTATAGCAGTTGCAGATACTCGTACGAAGATACACAGATAAACAGATAAACAGGAGACAAACAAACAATTTGACGGGCGCGCAAACTTTTTAATTATTTATAGCAACTGCGACGCCAGCTGCGACAGCGACGCCAACTGCGACGTCAATATCATTGCGCATTGCATAAAATAAATTAACAATTTCGAACTGCACATAGCTATATATACTTACATATATCTGCCAAGCTTAACCCAAAGATAACTAAAATTAACTCTTTTAAATATGTTTGAAAATAACATAAAATTATAAATTACAAATTTAATATATATTAATATATTATAATTAATACATTTTAAGTTAAGTTTCATTAAAACATATTTTCTGTTAATTTTGCTTAATCATTTTATTTATTTGAAATCTATCTTGTTCGTTTAATGTGCGAATTTTTTAATACCAAAATTGGCCTAAGCATTTGCATAAAAAGAATTTGTGCTCAAGAAAATATTAAAAAATATGTATATATATATTTTTTTTTTTATTTGACATGCAATTTTTATGGGCTTCATTCATGTTTATACACAGAAAGGGATAATTTATAAGCTGCCTAATAACTATCATATACAATTTATATTTAGATTTTAGCCAAAAATTTATTGTTTAGCTCACTGTGAAATTATTTGGCAGCTGACAGTTTAAGCGAATGATCAATTTAACAGCCAGTAAAAAGGCAATTTCTTAATTTGTGGGCATTTTTCAGTGCATTTTAAATAAATCACTGAATACCATTGATATCCATTCAAAATAATTAAACAGCAAACAAATGATGAATAAATCAATAAATGAACCAGTACGTATTATCAATCAACATTTGTCATAAATCAGTTGTTAAACAGCTTGAGCTCTGTTAAGCAGCTCTGTTAATCGGCTGTTATTCATGTTATATTATGTTTAACTCTTCTCTGTTAAATATATGAAATTGTCTTATAGGCGCATTTACCATTGCGCATGCAAATATTTTTTTATTAAAGGGTATTTTTCACATATGCCTGGGTATTTTTCAGTCTGGCGTTGCCTCTTGGCAAATTTGCAATGAAAATAACATGCATTTTTCTCTGTTTTTCCGAATTTTGTTTGGCAAAGTGCATTTTAATTAAAACATATAGTAACTGTATGCCTCTATATATATATATCTATATATAAATATATTCAAATATATTTCATCTGTTATTTAAACTAATTGCATTTACACATATGCATATACATTTTGCATACATGCAATTTGCATATTCCTGTCGCTGCATTTATTTTATTGTCGTTAAATGCACGGAAAATAACTTTCGCCCTTTTTATTTTTTTGGCCTGCAATAAGCCTTGTGCTTTTTGCTGTTTGTTTGCCTTTTGTTGTTATTAATTTTTTGTGCACATTTTGCGCAATTTCTTGACAACAACGTCGACGGCTCCTTCGTACTGTTTGTGGCTGGCTGATGATGTGTGGTTGTTGTGGCAAAAATGTTGATAATCATTTTTTGTCTCTCTGTCTGATTGTTGGGCTTGTTATCGCAGCGATCGTTTACACAATGCCGCCGCCTGCTGCTGCTGTTGTTGATGATGAGCGGCGGCAGCAGAAGTTGGCGGATTGACTTTATTACTCATACGCCATGTGCGCCTGCGCCTGCGCCTGAGTCTGCGTCCACGCCCGCCTCTTTGGTACGTCAGGTGCCAAACAAGCGTTCAAATATTTGAACATGCCCGTTAATATAATTTGCAAATGATTTATGCGTACTTGCAGCCAGGTAGGCATGCAGGCAGGCAGGCAGGCAGGTACCCAAGCAGTCAGGCAGACAGGTAGTAAAAACAGCAAAACTGGAGCGACTGTGCTTTTTTTTTTCAGATTCTTTGCAGCTAGTTTACTCGCATGTTATCACTTCATTAAGAGTCAAATGTTGCCAATTGACTCGCCGAGATATGCCTTGAAAATCGGGCAACATCATTGAACAACATGAACGAACTATAACAATAGACGTCGTGCATATCTTAAAAAAGAAATCAACGAAATCACATTATAAAGACGGCTGCCAGCCGCTAATTAGCATGTCAAATAACCCAAAAAAGGAAAGAAGACAAACAAAAATCTATGAATATCAACAATTTGATGGCTAATCAGTCTGATAGGCTGACAAAAACCACAACTGAGACATATAACATACATAGTATATGCAGATCAAGCAAATGCGAAAGGCTTTAGCCTTAAGTTGGCACACTCGACCATTTTCACTTAAGCACTCGAATGTGTCCAAAACATTTAGCATTATCAGCTCAAATCGTACAAGAATATCGAAATGGCCAGGTAATTGCTATTTGGAGAACCCGTGCTAAACATGTTTAATTAGAAGTGTACACTCGAAGAAAAATCTTGCTCTTCAAATTTACAAATTTCGATTAAAATCAAAAACGTGCCGCAACACATAGAAAACTTCTTGATAATTCTTAATTGTAGATTTAATAGCATTAAAAATAAATCTTATTTCAAGAGTTCTAAAAGAACTTCAACAATATACAATATACACTTGAAGAAAACATGCAGCTTTATTCTAAGCCAAATATTTTCCATCCATAAATACTATTTGCTTAATGTAATCTCTGATTTTGACTGATATAGGTATTTCTATTAAAGGTCTTAAACTCATTAAATATACAGAAAGAAAAACAAGCATAAGAAAAATCTGTTAATTTCTCTGAGTGCACAGTCCCTATACAGCCCCAATCGACTTGGAAAATAAGAAATTCATCATTAAATTGATTTAACCAAAAGAGCTTTTTCTGTATATTTCTCTAAGTGCACGCCAGACGAGTTCTATAATGCCAATTGGACTTGTTGATTTGGGCTTCGAAAAGCTAACTGTTGTTTGGGCCAGCCAGAAGTACACAGCAGCAGCTCGTTTGTTGACTAGTGTACACTAATATTGTGGCTGCAGCTGCGACTGGCATTTCGGGACTCTTCAGTCCAGATTGCATAAGCGGTCAAACCGAAAAAATTCCAAAAAAGACAACAACAAAAGCAACATACAGAGCAGCCCTGATCGGAAACTTGTTTTTCA